TTCCTTTTTTTTTTTTAATTTATTTATTTTTTTCCCCCAAAGCCCCAGTAGATAGTTGTATGTCATAGCTGCATATCCTTCTAGTTGCTGTATGTGGGACGTGGCCTCAGCATGGCCGGAGAAGCGGTGTGTCGGTGCGCGCCCGGGATCCGAACCCAGGACTCCAGAAGCGGAGCGCATGCACTTAACCGCTAAGCCACGGGGCCGGCCCGAGTATACCTTTTCTAATTTTAGAAATCTACAGGAAGGAGATGGGCCATTCCACAGATAAGCACAGCACAGCATGACAGGCTCCACCTGGACTAAGGGACGCTGCCCTGCGGGAGGGCCGGTGTCTAGAGAGGGGCCCCTTCCTTGCAGAAAGGCCATGTGACCAGCCTCCTGCTGGAGGCCTCCCTCTCCTGGGGAGGAGGATGAGGGCTGAGGTGAAGGCCAGCCTATGCTCGGCCTCAGCTACAAAAACCAGTAGTCAGAACTTTACCCCAAGAAAGAGATGGACTTGTCACCCTTAGCTTCCACTGCTTTTCACACGCCAGAAGCTGTCGGCCAGGGGCAGGATGGGGCTCACAGTCCAGAAGAAAACAACCCAGCACTGAGAGACCTTGTTTTCCCAGGGAGGGGGTGGGAAGCCGGAAGTCACAGCGAAAGAAGACAGAAGTTTGCAAAGGAAAGTATGATGGAATCGGGATTAGATGGAGAGAAAAAAAAGAATGGAAAAGGGAGGAAGAGAGGCAACCTGGCAATTTTGTATACTGGGCAGTTTATATGAGTGTAATCTATGATTCACTCCCCACCAGTCCTTGTAAGTGAAAAGAGGTTTATTTTCCCAATTATGAAAACACATAAGTACATCTAGGTCTGTAAGGCTACACACCAAACTGTAGGAGTGGGACTACAGGTCTGGGGGGTAAACCAATTTTGTACACTAGGCACTTCTGGATCTTTCAGATTTTTCACAATAAAAATGTACCTCATACTTCTTGTATCATAATAATAAGGTCTTACATCTAAGGCCATGCTACCCTAGCAAAACGACCACTGGTCACTACTCTTGCTTTCCTAGCTTTCTTTTCCCCCCTCTCTCCTCTGCATGCTGGTCCATGGCTAAGGACCATGGGCTAAGGACCTAGCACCCAGTCATCTCTGAGCAGCAACACCAGGCAAAAGCAAAACTCCAAGGTTCCTCAAAAGTTCAACACAGAGGCGCTGGTCCCATGGCCTAGCAGTTAAGTTCAGCGTGCTCCACTTTGGCGGCCCAGGTTCAGCTCCCGGGTGCAGACCTACACCACTCATCATCAGCCATCCTGTGGCAGTGACCCACATACAAATTAGAGGAAGATTGGCACAGACGTTAGCTTAGAGCGAATCTTCCTCAGGAAAAAAAAAAAATGTCAACACAGAATTACTATAGGACCAGCAATTCCACTCCTAGGTATATACCCAAGAGAACTGAAAACAGGTGTTCAAACAAAACTGGTACCTGAATGTTCATAGCAGCACTAACCAACAACAGCCTAAAGGTGAAAGCAACCCAAATGTCCATCAACAGATGGATGGATCAACTAATCATGGTCTATCCAGACACTGAAAGATTATTCAGCCACAGCAAGGACTGAAGTACTGACACGTGCCGCAACACGGACAAACCTTGAAAACATTAAGTGAAAGAAGCCAGACACAAAAGGCCACGTATTATATTACATGAAATATTCAGAATAGGCAAATCCATACAGACACAAAACAGGTTAGTGGTTGCCAGGGGCCAGGGGTGGGAAGGAATGGGAAGTGACTGATTAATGGGTACGAGGGTTTCTTCTGGGGTGATGCAAATGTTCTGGAACTAGATTGAGGTGACAGTTGTACAACAGTGAGAATGTACTAAATGCCACATAATTGCACACTTTAAAATGGTTAAAATGGTGAATTTTATGTTGTGGTATAAATTTTACCTCAACTAAAAAAAATAAAACTCTTAGCTGTGTGACCTTGGGCAAGTTACTTAGCCTCTCTGAACCTATAAAATGGGCAGATGACAGCACGACCACGTAAGCTGGTTGTGAGGATTCCATGAGATGTGTGGGTTAAGTGCTTGGTACAGGGCTGGGCGGGTAGAAAGGGACCAGTAAGCAAGGAAGCTGCCACCGCCAGGATGAAGATTATTATGCCACACTGTCAAAGCCAACTCACTTGGAAGTGGGTGGGGTTTCCACGTTTTCTTTTTTTTTTTTAAAGATTTTATTTTTTTCCCCCAAAGCCCCAGTAGATAGTTGTATGTCACAGCTGCACATCCTTCTAGTTGCTGTATGTGGGACTCGGCCTCAGGATGGACGGAGAAGTGGTGCCTCGATGCGCACCCGGGATCCGAACCCGGGCCACCAGCATTGCAGCACGCGCACTTAACCACCAAGCCACAGGGCCGGCCCATCCACGTTTTCAAATTATCCCTTTAACTAAACAACAACAACAAGACGGTTGGGGGAGGGGTGATGTATAAGATGAAAGATTAAGGAGAGTGGCTCTACCATATTTATAGTATATTTATATCTAGACTATATTTACAGTCTGGTCTGTGTTAAGGGAAGAAACACAAACAATTAACTCGGTCATAGAGGGACCAAGGGGCGGCTATGACACTTGTCCACCACGGAGCAACCTACAGGCTCCTGCTTTTTCCACCTCCTTCCACAGGCCTGTAGACATGGGTCTTTGACTGACCCCTGCTTTATTTGGGCAGAATGGGCTGCATGTAGGTGAAAAGGTTCCATCTGTGCAAACGCCTTTATCTGGAAGCAGCTCTAAAAACCTCAGAACTGACAGGTGGGGGCAGGAAGAACTGTCGCTCTTCTTATCTATCTGGAAATTATTTGGTACAGAATTAGCAGAACTCAAAACTTCCTGAGGCAAGGTGACCTCCCTCACGGCTGACGGTGGTCGGCCTAGGGAGAGGGGTGGGAGGAATGAATAGGATTTCAGGCTGTCATGGAAACTTTTCTTTCCTTGGGCCTCTGAGCATATGGCAGGTGTCCTGAAAAATCCATCCCTGCCGTCCGAGGCTGGCTGCTGCCCTCAGACGTGTGGGTGGGGGTCTGCCTCTCCGTCTGCAGGGCACCCCTGCCCCGCCCCCGCCATGGCAGCGGCAGCACAAAGGAGTCTCCAGTGTGCGCCTCTCGTCCCAGCTCCCCAGACAGGCGCTGGGGGAGAGCCTCCAGGGCCCCATGGAAATCCAAGTCCCGGGCCCCGCGGGCCTCGATGCAGCCCACAGATCACAGACAGCGGCAGGCCAAAGGCCACGGCGCAGACTTCTCCGGGGCCTCTTGAAATGCGATGCCCATTCTGCCCTCCGCTGATGGGGATGCCTCACAAGCCCTGCATCTCCTCCCAAGACTAAAGAGAGCTGCATGTGGATCTGGGACTCGGAAGGAGCAAACAGGCTGGCCTCCTAGCAAGACAGGCTCCTCCGTATAACACGGGAAATCCAGCTGGCCCAAGGTAAAGAAAATCACAAATTGGGAGGCTGTGAACCCAAAGCAGCCAAAAGGATTCTAAATAGCAGCAGGTGGAAGACGCCAGGGTGGAAAACAAGACGGAATTCTGAAAACTCCAAAGCTTCTGAAACTGGGTGACTGTGCCCATGGGGGTGCATGGTAGCGTGCCAGGAGCAGACAAAGCCACAGGAGAAAGTGGGTGCTATCTTCTTGTAGCATCAGTGAGACTCAAGGATTGGGGGATGCCCACAGAATAAAACAGGACAATAACATATTGTGGAGAGGAATGTAAAATCTGATTGAGTCTTAAGGATAAAATACTAGATGTCAAGGAAATGCACGACTGCAGCCAGCCACTCTGGGGCATTCCGCTCCTGTGCGTTAAGGGCAACTTGGAGAAGCGCGGAAGCCCAGCTCTCAAGGAACCCCTGGCTCCATTCATTTCATTTGTCACGCAAATATTTTTTCGAGGTCTTACTATGTGCCAGGCTCCTTTCCCTCCCTGAAACTCACTGCTTAGTTGGGGAGGGGAGGTGTTAATTAAAGTACATGACACCACGGGACTTACATCAGGGAGACTCTACCTGCCGAGGGCAGTGGGGGAATGCTTTCTTGGGGATGTGGGCCTGAGTGACGATTAACCAGGACCAGACGGGTAGGGGGAGGGAACGGGAAGCTCTCCAGGCAGAGGGAACAGCATCTGCAAAGTTCTGTTTCAGGAGGGGGCTTGGCTGGAACCCAGGGAGCGAAGAGGAGAAAGGTCTGAGGTCACGGAGGCAGGACCTTGATGGCTAGTCCTTCTCCTCAGACCGTTGGTACACCAGGGGGCAACTGTAAGTGGCAGGGCGGCACGGCAGAGCTGTGTTTTAAGCAGATGACCCGAGCAGCAGCATATTCACCTGGGAATCCCTACCAAGGCAGACAGACAGATGGTCAAAGCTGTACCGTGTTTTTAGTGAGGCCTCATTGGAAGATGCAAACCCCGAGAGACCTGTGCCCAGGCCTGGTGACTACATAATGGATCCTGCTCGGGCTCCAATCAGCCACAGTTCTAAACCCCTTTAAGAACAGTGGTTGCTCGAGTTCCCCTCCCAGCACATCCAGCGGTCGCATACCAGGAAGCAGCTGACATGGGGTTAAGAGCAGAGGTTCTGGCACTGTGCAGTTCTGGGCTCAAATCCTGTCTGCTATATACTAGCTGGGTGACCCAAGGCAAGTTTATTTACCTCTCTGTGCCTCAGTAAAATGGGGTACTAAAAGCCCCTGTCTCCTGGGGTCATTGTATGGATTCATGAAGGTCAAGCTGCTCAAGTCCTTATCACTTAGCCTGGTACATTACAGATGTTAAAGAAAATGTAGATTATTATTATTATATTATTATTATTACTATAATTCGTACTCATCTAAAGATGAACATGGAAGATGTGCAAAGACCATGGAAACGTACAATGATTTGGGAGCGCTCAGGCTCACGGAGGAGGAGACCGCACGCAGGAGGAAGCGGGTTCCACGTACTTGCGAGCAGGAGGCAGGAGATGGCCACGGCGTAGAGCTGCTTGGAGGTGGTGATGCTATAGCGGTCCAGGAAGTGGTCCAGCAGGTAGACGGCCAGGTGCCGGGCGGCGGGGCAGAGCTGGCAGTGGCTGCTCAGCAGGGTCAAGGTGTCGACAAAGAACCGGCGGCTCTTCAGGAGTGGGGAGTGGGCTCGGAAGGTGGGCAGCTTCAGCTCCTGGAGGACAGGCAGGGCAGAAGGGGGGGTCAGGGCTGCCTCCTGAGAGCCTCAGATGCCCCAGGAAAGCGAGGTGAGGGGGCCCGCCTGCTGGCTGGTTAGGGGGCAACGATTCCCTCCACATCCTGTTCGTTTTCCTTCAAGCCCTAGGATGGCAGCCCCTCTATTCCAGAAACTCCTGGACCGTCTCCCATCCGCCCTCCCTGAGCACAGGCTGGTAGAGTGTCAGGGACATGATGACAGAGGCAGGTGAAGGAGACGATCAGCTCCAAAGAAGCCAGTCATTCCTGGCAAAAGGTTCACCATTCCAGATATACAGGCCACAAAAGAATGTAGGCCCTGAGGTCGGAGACCCTCATCCAAATTCTGGTTCTACTGCTCAACCAGCTGTACCACCTGGTCACCTGCCTCACCTGCTTTCACCTTTGTTCCCTCCTCAGTAGCTGAGGAGTAAATGAAAAACCAATGGAAGCACCCGGCACACGGTAACCTCTCAGGGTCCATGGCTTAATTCTCTCTGTGGGCGGGACTGTGAGGGACAATTTTTTGAAAACATTCAACCTAAAAAAGGTTGTTAAAATAATAGTACAAAGAACTCTCGAACATTCTCCCCCTAGATTCATTAGTTGTTGACATTTTACCTTTTTCCTTTCTATAAGAACATAGACTTTTTTCTAAAGTTTCAGACATCATACATCCCCCCAGGAGACGACTTTTCCTTTGTAATTTATACACTGCCATGTGATCAGAATTTATTTGTCTAATACAAGAAAAACCAGTGAGAGAAATATCAAACCAACCAAGATTTTTATGATGGAAAACATTTTCTTATGTATTTACCATATTTACAATTTTGCCAAAGTAGACCAGACGCAATTTATTTAGGAAATGTCTTCACAACATTTTGTCAAATGGGGACACTAAAGGGAAGGAAAATTGAGGAAAAACAGGAAAGGAGAAGCTGGCAGAAAAGGAATTGTGAGAGGCCACTGATGGCAGGTTCACTGGGGGATGAGATTAAAACAAATTGGTGCCCCTCCTCTATATAAGGCCACTTGCTTAACCCTGGGGCTTTACTTAAGTAAACAGCTCTGGGACTAGGAGATATCTGTTCATTCAAGAGTATGAGTTCATTCATTTCACTCAGTATCTTTCTATACATTAGGCATTATTCCAGGCACTGGGGATACAGTCTGGAATGAGATGGACACAGATATACATGTAAGATTAAAACTAAAAAACTCTTAGAAGAAAACAGGAGCAAATCTTTATGACTTAGATTCGGCAAAAGTTTCTTCAACATTACACCAAAAGCAGGAGCAGTAAAAGAAAAAATACCTAAGTTGGACTTCAAAATTAAAAATTTTCATGCTTCAAAAGACACCATCAAGAAAGTGCAAAGAAAACATACAGAAAGGGAGAAAATGTTTGGAAACCATATATCAATAAGAGACAGTATTCAGATTATATAAAGAACTCTTACAACTCAACAATAAAAAGACAACCCAATTTAAAAATGGGCAAAGGAGTGAACAGATATTTCTCCAAAGAAGATATACAAAAGATGCTGAACATCACTAATCATCAGGGAAATGCAATTCAAAGCCACAATGAGATACCACCTCACACCCACTAGGATGCTTTTATAATAACAAAAACAAAAACAGAAAATAAACAAGTGTTGGTGAGGATGTGGACAAATCAAAACCTTCATATACCACTGGTGGGAATGGAAAATGGTGCAGCCACTGTGGAAAATGGTTTGGCAGTTCCTCAAAATGTGAAACACAGAGTTACAACATGACCCAGCAATTCCAACCCTTGGTATATACGCAACAGAAACGAAAACATATGGCCACACAAAAATGTGTATACACATATGTTCAGAGCAGCATTATTCATAATAGTCCCCAAAGGAAAACAACCCAAATGTCCATCAACTGATGAATGGATAAATAAAATGCAGTCTATCCATACAATGGAATATTACTAGGTCACAAAAATGAATGAAGTACTGATACATGTTACAACATGACGAACCTTGAAAACATTATGCTAAGTGAAAAAAAAGCCTGTCATAAAAAGCCACAAATTGTATCATCCCATTTATATGAAATGTCCAGTATAAGCAAATCCACATAAACAGAAAGTAGATAAGTGGTTACCGTGTGCTGGGGGTGGAGTTTAATGAGGGGTGACTGCTAATGGATATGGGGTTTCTTTTTGGGATGATGAAAATACTCTAAAATTAGATAGTGTTAATGGTTGCACAACTCTACGAATACCCTAAAGGCAAATGAATTGCATACTTTAAAGAGCTGAATTTTATGGTATGTGAATTATACCTCAATAAAGCTGTTGTAAAAAAAATAAGATGGACATATTACCCACTCTCATGGAGTTTATTGGCCCAGTAAGAGAGAGAGATGGCAATCAAATAATAAGACAACTACGGAATTCCAAACTGTGATCAACATTAGGAAGGAAAGCTATGGGCACTGTGAAAGCCCCCCATCTTCTCTGAGGGAAGGGAGGTCTACCCGGTGAAAATGAAGGTTGAGGTGAAATTTCACGCTGGGATCTCATCTCTTCTGGCTTGTTCCCCCAGAGAGCTCGAGGCCAGGACACGGCTATCTTGGTGGCCCTAGAGCTTTGCACACGGAAGATGCTAAAGCCTGAATAAATTATTTCCTCTCCCTTTCGTTTACATATGAAGAACTCAGTTTGAAAAAGTCCTATCCTATAACTCGGGGCTTTACTTAACTAGCAACAGATCTGAGACTAGAAGATTTTTAATGTATCTTTTTCAACCTTTTATTTATTTACTTTAATCATGGAGAAGATCTTTTACCCCCAGCTTAACTTCTTTAAGGAAAAGACTTGACCTTGTGTATTATTCATCTTCATTGTTTGATGAATTTATGCGGCCACACAGGACTTCAAATTCCTTGAGGGCAGGGTCTGGGTCTGCCTTTGCACCTGGTCAGGTGCCCAATAACTAACTGTTGAAGGAATCAAGGGAGGGAGGGGAGAAGAAGGGAGGAAAGAGGACTGAATTGCAGTGGTGAGTACCGAGTGCCCAGGGCCCACAGAGGAAGGTGTGGCCATCTATATAGAGTGGCAGGGCAGTGGGCAGCACTTTGAGGAGGACAGATCTATCTCGCCAAGTTCTGGAAGGACGTCTAGGAATTGACCTGTTGAAGATGCGCAAGCTCTTTAAAGGAAGAAGAGCTCTTCTTTAAAGGAAGCTCAGCAGGGAATACAACACCTACAAAGCCACACAGGTGTCCCATCCGGGGAATCTGGAGCCCTTGGAACAGCCAGACAGGTAGGGTGTGCTGGACAAAGCAGGCCGTGAGAGGGGGTGGTGTCCCAGCTTGTATGCCCTGCTAAGATACCTGGCCTGCCCTGAGGGGAGCCACTGAAGGATTTAGAGCAGGACATCAACCTGGGCAGAGGGGTCATGCATGAACCTCTCCTGGCCAGCCTCTTCCCACACAGCTGGTAGCAGCAGCCAATGTGGGGCTGCAGCTCCCCCAAATAGCGGCCCCCCTCCCACCCCTTCAGCAGCCCCCACAAGCTTGCAGGCTACTTGTGTATTTCCTCTAAGCAGAGGGTTCTAAGGCTCTGGACAAGAAGTAACAGCAATCTCAGACCCTTGGTGTTTTGTAGGCAGCAGCTGCCGGAAATTAGCCAAGTGACCTTTGGCCCGGGCCGTGCTGCCCTCATCAAGGCAGTTCAAAGGCCCCAAACACAAGTCAGATATGCTACATCCCGACCTCCCTCCCTGCTCAACTCAGCCAAGCTTAACTCCTTCTGGATTTTCCCTTGTGCCAACCAGGAGAAGAGAGCTCAAAGCAACACATTTGTAGGTCTTTCCTCTGTACACTCTCCAGGGAAAAGGGTCCACTGGCTTGAGTAGATTCTCACAGGAAGCCATAGGTGCACAAAAGAAAAAGTTATGGACCTTTGGAACGGGCAAGAATACATGTCAAGAAGGAGTTAGCAGCTGGGGATTCCTGGCAAAGGCTAGACTCAAGGGTGGGCGGGATTCTGAAAGCTACAACAACAGCTGTCTGCGATGCTCTTCATCCTCATTTCTGCTTGTCCCTCAGATAGCGGTTTAAATGTCACTTCCTGAGAGGCCTTCTCTGACCCCTCATCATTCCAAATCAGGGCCCCCCAGTTCTCCCTCATAGCATGCTGTTCTCCATCGCCAAATATTTACTCATTTATGTGTCTCTTCCTGCTAAGCTCTGGCTCCAGACAGCAGGGGCCACGTTCACTTTGTCTATACCATTTGCCCAGCACCCAGTATGTGCCTGGCAGAGGTAGGTGCTTAAAAACTATTTGCATGAGTAAAAAATAATGCATAACCATGAGAAGGCATGGAGGAAACTTAAATGCATATTATAGCCACGCAGCACATAACGACAGGGTTAAATTCTGAGAAATGTGTTGTCAGACGATTTCGTCACTGTGTGAACGTCATAGAGTGTACTTACACAAATCTGCATGGCACAGCCTATTACACACCTGGGCTGTATGGTACTCATCTTATGGGACCACCATCGTATGTGCAGTCCGTTGTTGACTGAAATGTTGTTATGCGGCACATGACTGTACCAAGTGAAAGAAGTCAATCTGAAAAGACGATATACTATGTGACTCCAACTATATGACATTCTGGAAAGAGTTGCCAGGGATTGGGGAAGGGAGGGACGAATAGGTAGGACACACACAGGATTTTTAGGGCACTGAAACTACCCTGTATAGTACTACAGTGGTGGATACATGTCATTATACATTTGTCCAAATCTGTAGAATGTACAACACCAAGAGTGAACCCTAATGTAAATTATGGACTTTCGGTGATTATGATGTGTCAACATAGGTTCATTGATTGTAATAAATATATCACTCTGGTGGGGGCTGCTGATAATGGGGGAGGTGTGGTCATGGGTATACGGGAAATCTCTGTACTTTCTGCTCAATAGTAC